TAGAATGGTCACAGAAACCTCATTTTCCACCCCTAGTTCCAGCTGCATATTCCCTGGGGGAAAGTCTCCTTTTCCCAAGAACAGATTGATGTTTATGGAGCTGATCCCCACACAGTAGCTTTCACTGGTCTAGAGATAAATATATTCTTGAAATATGAAATCTTGGGCCCCCCTTCTGGTGCAAGGGGTTAAGACACATCTGGGAAGCTATCCGCAGTCTCTGCAGCATGAGTTCAATCCCCAGGCAAGGAGCAACCCACATGGCACAGCAGACCTCTCCTGACTCACCTGCTGCTCCCCTCAGCAGTGTATTTCAGTCAATCTGCCTGTTCTCTTCCCTGCTCTGTCTCTGGTGAATCCTTTCACCCCCCACACCTCTGGCTTGTATCCAAGTTCTTGCATGCATAAATAAATAAATCTTTAAAAAAGAAATAGGAAATCTAATATTTGCTATGAATTATCATGTTATTTGAATGCTCAAAAAAGAGATATTTTGAGTAAGTGTTGTCATCACGTTATGACTGAGAATAGCTTTGCAACATGTTTTTCCAACCAGATGAGTGCAGATGATAGTTTAAGTAATGAAGAAGCAGGAAATTGAAAATATGGCAAAATACCAATTTCACAAAATTACCAAATTTATGCTATAGAAATCATACCAAACTGATAAATTCCATTAGTTTTTTCCTTTTCTGGCAAAATGTCTGTGTCATTGTGTGTTTATGAGGATGACTACATGTCACTGACCAATGCAGACCAGGCAGGGAGCATCCAAGCAGCTGTCCCTTTCACCATGAGGGGCTGTTCCCGGTTCCAGGCCACCCACGCTCCCTGCCCTCTTCTAGGCCGACGCTGTGCACTGACAGGGCTTCACAGCTGGTGTCTCTGGTGGGCTGAGACACTCATGGTCCAGAGCTCTCCACACCTTGCTCTAACACACTCAGAGTCTTCTCTGACTGCTCATGAGACAAAAGTCAACTGTGTGGGCCTCTGGTACCAGCCATGAGGGAGGTTTTTCTTCGGGGCTCAACCACTGTGGGAGGAGTATGTGTACCCTGAAAGCAGTAATAGATTCCAACATCCTCAGCCTCCACCCTGCTGATCTTCAGGGTGAAATCTGTGCCTGACCCGCTGCCAATGAAGCTGTCTGTGACCCCAGAGGGCCTGTTGGAAACATTACAGATCAGGCGCCTTGGAGACTGGCCTGGCTTCTGCAGGTACCAACTCATATAGGTGTTTCCATCACTATGTATGAGGCTCTGACTGGCCCTGCAGGAGAGGGAGACCTGCTCCCCGGGGACGACGGGCAGGGAGAGTGGAGTCTGGGTCAGCACAACCTCCCCACTGGATCCTGAAGAAAGGAGAGAAAAGTGACAAGTAAAGACAAGTATTATCAGTCATTTTTATTATTTCAAGTCTGTTATTCATTTAGGCTAAAATACTGCTTTGTTTACTATCAATACTTGAGGTATGTAATTCTACACCTAAACCATGAGCTCACAATAAATACCCTGTGGGAAGAGACCCCTAAACTTTGCCTGCCCTCTCTAGTGAGGGTACAGTTGTTTCACGTAGTCACAGATCTCAGCACCCACTTTCTCTTAAGGACAAGACACACACACCTAACGCAGAGACCCAATACTCATGGGGGCAGAGGACCCCACAGCTCATGTTCCCCACCCTGCGCTCCATTCTCACCTCCCCTCAGCCTTACCTGGGGTCCAGAGCATCAGCAGTCCCAGGAGCTGAGCAGGGAACCTCATTTTGAGAGGGTGACCTGATGGCCCTGTCGGGTGAGATCAGTCTGCAGCTGATGTTTTATCTCAGCCCTGAAGCCCAGGTCCTCCGCCTGCAAATGCCCTGGTGGGGGTAGTGGGGTGGAGAGAACCCAGGGGAGACCGGAGGGTTTCATAGGGGCACAGTGAGTGTCTTGTCTTTCATCAGTCTCATGGAAACTGAAAGAAACATTTGTGTATCCCAAAGACAAGAAAGATCAGATTCTGCAAGTTTATTAGTTTTGTACACAATACAAGCCGTGTATTCCTGCTTCTCTTCAAATAGCATATACTGAGGCACTGCCTCTGACCATGCAGAGACATGTCCAGGTCTCCCTCAGGTCAGTGAGTGACCACCTTCTTGGCTTCTCCCGGGTGAAATCACGAGCGACTCAGCTCCTCCTCTGGACTGATGAGCAGCGTCTCAAGGTACAAGATGGACGTGAGGGTCAGTGTCCTTTATATCTGCTGTTATCAGGTTAACAGTTTAACTCTGTTGGGTAGAAGAACCTAGTACACTGAATTCCGTAAGTATATTGAAGTCAGAAGACCCTGACAGGGAGAATAAACTTGCTTTCTTAGAGAGACCAAATAGACTTGTTTAAGAAGAAAGAACAAGAAAATATTGTATCTTAGTGAATACAAATTTAGGGCAGCCAGTTGCTAAAGTCTTTTGAACTCTGTTGGATAGAAGAACCTAGTACACTTAATTCCATTAAGTACATTGAAGTAAGAAGACCCTGACAAGGAGAATAAACTTTCTTTCTTTTTTTTTTTTCCAGGAAGATAAAAGCCAATCTTTTTTTTTTTTTAAAGATTTTTAAATTTATTTTTATGCATGAGCTGGGGAACAGGCCAGATGTGTGTGGGGGTGAGAGGATTCAGCAGAGACAGAGCGGGAAACAGAACAGGCAGACTGACGAAATACACTGCTGAGGGGAGCAGCGGGCGAGACAGGAGGGGTCTCTGCGCCACGTGGGATTCTCACCAGCTGGCTGACAGCAAACACACACTGCAGAGGCTGCAGACAGCTTCACAGTGCAGTGCTCAACCGCCTGTGCCACTAGGGAGTCCCTAAACTTTCTTTCTTATAGAGACCAAAAAGACTTGTTTAAGATGAAAGATAAAAAAAATGTTGTATCTTAGTGAATGCCAAATTTAGGGCAGCCAGTTGTTAAAGTCTGTGAACTCTGTCATCCTTACACACTGTAGTCATAATAGATTAATTTAAGAAATTTCTGAAGGTAAAGAGTCCTTGGGGGAATGGAACTAAGTAAATAAGAAATTATATATGTGTGTGCATGGGTGTATGTATGATAAGAAGCAAACAAACATGAAAATAGCACAAGCCTGACCACATCTGAATCCGGCTGTGCACACAGGCCACGGGTGATGGAGAGGACACAGGTGGAGAATGACCCGCATGAGGTCCCGAGGGAGGAGACCCCTGCGTCTCCAGTCCTGAGTACGGTCCGTGACGGAGGACAGGCAGTGACAGCGGCTGCTGTTTGGGTTCACATCCTCACATTTGAAGCTGACACTGACAACATGAAGAGACAGGGCCCCACGCTTTGTTTACATGGGGTGCTGTTGTCACCTCCCCTATGGCCATCTCTTCTGGAAGCACATTTACCACAGCCCCTTTTCTCTTTATGTCTCCTTAGAATTGTCCATAAGGGGTCCTCACTGAGCTCTGGAAGAGGAGAGGATTCACTCCTGTCCATCACACCTGCAGTTCTGGAGAGTAACCTGCAGAGATGCAGCAGAGGGTAGAGCTCAGCACCCTCCCCTGGGCTTTCTAGAGAGGTCTGAGGACCACAATAGAGGCCAACTTATCCACTCAGTGATGATGTGCTCTGGTGTCCTGGACAGCGACAGAGAACCCCATGTATGTGTTTGCTTCCCTGAACACATGCCTCCAGACCATGAAAGGATTGTAATTTAACCTCTACCTCCCTTTATTAAAACATTTCTAGACAAGAAAGAATAGGGAGAAAAATTGCAAAAGACATATCAGGGATGGGGTTATTTGAAATACATGGATAATTCTTAGAACAAGCACTCAATAAAAATTGGGGCAATGTCTTTAGCAGACCCCTCACCCAAGGAGATACACAGTTGACTCATAAGTGAGTGAAGAGATGGTCCACATGTCACATCATCTGGAAATGCAAAGGAAGTCAGTGGTAGCCCCACTCCACCCACTCTGGGATGCTCAAATCTAGAACAGTGACACTTCATCACAATGTCATCTGTCACTAAGATGTGACCCCAGGGACTGCCTCACACATCATGGTTGGAACACAAATTGGTGCCATCACTTTGGACACAGGTTGTTGGTGTCCTACAAAATGAGCACACTCTTGCATGTCACCCAGCAACTGGACTCCTTCATATTTCCCCAAAGAGTTAAACATCCACATTACCCTGACCTCAGTGCTTATGGTACTTTACTCATAAATTAAGAATTTGGAAACACCCAGGTGTCCTCCAGGGGGTGGTAAATGTATAAATAAACTGTGGCTCATCCAGACAATGGATTATTGCTCAACACTAAATGGTCCCCACTTCGATATTTGAGGGAGTCCCCGATGTCACATCATCATGACAGGTGACGATGTGCGAAGGGGTCACTGTCTATAGTCAGGCATCCTAGGGGGTGACTGTGTGCGGCTGATGATTTAATTTGTGATTCCTGAGTGGACAAAAATGGACATGGAAGCAACTTAATTTTAAGGACAGAAATCCAGCTGAAAAAGTCCGCATACTGTATGACTATCTGAAGGACATTCCGGGGAAGGGGTCACAGTGGGGACAGTAATGATGTAAAGGGTTATGTGGGGATTAAGAGGTGGAACATGAAGGAATTTGAAACAGTGAAGCTGCTCTGTGGACATTGTCAAAGGGGACACATGCCCTGGTCAACTGCGAACTCTTAGCCTGTGCATGAGCTAGGGCGGTTCCTCTACTAATCTGTGGGTTCAGGGTCTTCAGCTGGAATATCTGTACACTTTCGGGGGGAGGGTGAGAGGAGGAAAGATGAGAGACGATGTTTGTGTGGGAGGAGGTGTTATGGGAAAAACCCTATTGCCTAATTTCTAGGAACCTTAATCATCTCCATGTGTGTGTTAATTCATTTAAAAAAATTCTTACTCAAAGTACAGTGGCTTCCTACCACGGTATGACCTCATCAGGTCACAGGCAGACAGCTCAGGTGTCATCAGCTCTGTCTTTATTGAATCCACAGAGACATTGTTTTCTCTGTGCTGCTGGGCGAGGAGGTGAAAGATATTTAGGGACAAAGAGACACCTGCTCCTTCTACCAGACACTTCAGTCCTTCGAAGTGAGACTCCATCTGAGTTGTGCTCTCAGCAGATAGAAGCAACATGGAAAGCAGCTGGGCTGCCCAGCCTCACACAGCTGCTCCCTGGGTGGTTTTTGTTCAGGCTTGTGTCACTGTGGGAGGGTAACTTTTCCACTGCTGACAGTAGTAAGTGGCAGCATCTTCAGGCTCCAGGCTGCTGATGGTGAGAGTGAAATCTGTCCCAGACCCACTGCCACTGAAGCGGGATGGGACCCCGGGCTGCAAACTGGATGCATATTTAATCAGGAGCTTAGGAGCTTTCCCGGGTTTCTGCTGGTACCAGTGCAAGTTGGTACTGATGCTCTGACTGGCCCGGCAGGAGATGGTGACTCTGTCTCCCGGAGATGCAGATACTGAGGGTGGAGACTGGTTCAACTGGATGTCACACCTGGCCCCTGAAATGGAAAGAAAACACACCCCCACACTGTCATCCTGTCATCAGAGGACTTCCCTGAGGACCTGCCCACCCGGGACTGATCAACTCCTGGTGTTTCCTTCCTCACCTGGGAGACAGAGCAGCAGGAGGCTGAGGAGCTGAGCGGGGGCCCTCATGTCCATGCTGGGTCCTGCCTGGACTGACCCTCAGGGGCTGGGGCAGACTATGAATAATGTGGAGGGAGGGGCTGTGCTCTGGAAACATGCAAATGAGCAGGGGCGGGGCAGTGGGCACAGCTGCAGGGGCTGATCTCAGCAGCACAGAGACAGGGACTCCCCAGTGACCAGGTCCCCCCAGGGTAGGGTGAACTTGCCTGCAGAGAAGGTATTTCTCACTGGGGATGACAGGACAGAGTCATCTACACTCCTTTGAATGTAGTGTTCTTTTAGTCTTATCCTTGACATGCTTTACTCTTAGTCTCCATGTAGTACAGGGCCTATAAAGAAAGGCACTCAAAGAAATTTTACAAACTTCTTTATTTGAACTTTGGAGCATGAGAGGCTATTTCTAAATTGACTCCCTGATATTACTGGTTGAGAAATTGTCTTCACTTCCAGAGAGCAATGCATTGAGGTAGAAAGGAAATAAGACTGTGGGCGTTCTGAATTGGTAATGAGAGCCCAGACATTGAGTATCCTCCATGCTGACCTCATCTTCTGCTAAGCCTTGTGTCCTCCATATCTGAGGCCCTGTGCCACCACATTCACCTGGTCCCAAGGCCAGGGTGTGCTGCCCCCACATCTGACAGTCTCCTCCCTCCCCAGTGCTGTGTCATCAACAGACCCGAGCACAAGCCCTGGTCTCCCTGGACTGTAGCTCACGTCCTTCATCCTTCTCCCCCAGGTGCTCCCTTTTGAGCTGAGGTCCTCCCAGACCAACTCCTCAGTGATCCCTGGGGTCAACTGTGTCCCTGCACCTGCAGGCTCCCCCATGGCCACATCTCCCACACATCCCAGGAGACAGCAGCTCTAGTCTCAGGGTGAGGGTGAGGAGGGGTCACCCTGGCCAGCTCCCTTCTCTTCTCGTGTTGCCAGGACACTGCCCTAATGCAGTGTCTGCCCTCTGTGCAGCCTCTGAGCACATCCTCCTGTGTGTCCTGTTCCCACCCCCACCTTTCTGCACAGGAATCCTAGAAAATGCACCACCTCCGGACAGGGGAGGACAGGATGGGGAGACACTCCAGGGTCTTGACTGGGAGATGCCTACAGCCTGTATGTGAAGCAGGATCATCTGGCGGTGCACTCAGAACAGGAGGTAGATACAGACACACTGAAGCCACTGAGTGATTTAGGGGAGATCATTATATGGGGGGTCAAAGGGGCCAGGAAGGTAAGAAAGAAAGGGAATGTGATTGCGCAGCTGTCTGTCCAGGCCTGCTTCCCCAAGAAGGTTCCAGAGATCAGAGTAGCACCAGGACAGAAGGGACATATGGGGAGATTTAGGCCCAGACAAGTGACAGGATGAGGGTGTCTTGGCAGCTGATGGTGAGTCTTCTGTCGAGACCCACAGGCCGTGCCCCTGGCAGGTACCATGTCTGGGGCAGCACCAAGGAGCAGGAGCCTGGGAGCTGGTTTTTGCAGATTTCAGGCTGGGATGATGTTAACTCTGTCTGACCCTGCAGGCAAAAGTGACCCTCTCATGGGACACAGCGAGGGAGCCTGGGTCAGGACTTACTCAGTGTCCTCCCCACTGGTTCTTAAGTGGGAAATGAATATGAAGATCCCCAAAAAGCAATGCCAAACATGTAGATCATTAAGGTAAGATTTATTTCTTACCTTATTTATTTCTTACCAGGACACAAAATCAGCTAAGAGTTCCTTTTCTATAAATGTCTGCTTATCAGGCAAACAAACCTGGGGCTAAGCCTGAACACGGTCCTCAGCAGAACCAGAGTTGGAGGAAAAGGAGCAAAGCTGGGTCCATGTATCAAGTTTCCTCTGAGGCTGATCCTACACAGAAAAGTTGGGGATGGTTGTGGGGACACAGTCCACAGAGGGGAGGGCAAAGATGCTTCCACACACTGAGCACAGGCACTGGCAGTTTTGCTCCCACTCAGCACTGGAGTCCCCCAGGCTCCCAGTCCAGCAAGAGACCATCCTGCCTTTGGAGCTCCCTCTTTCTCAGTATTTCTTTCAGGGGTTTGAGTCTTGAGTTTACTTGGGTGTTTGGTGACCTCTAATGGCTGATCTGTGCTGCAGCAACTTGCAGGATTTTCTATGGGGCCCCACTCAGTAAAGGCTGAGACTTTCCCTGTGTTGGGTGATGCTGGAACTAAGGTTAGGGGTCCCAGAACAGACTGTAGTAACACAAAATGATTCTTCTTATCAATAAACCTGTCACCTGGTTGAAGAAAAAGGACAAAACAGGTGACCAGAACTGGCCATCCTATTAGTGACAAGGCTGCACTGATCAGGTCCTGTGATCACTTGAGAGACAAAAGCTGTGGTTGCAAAGAGAAGGTGGAGCAGGAGGGAGCCTGCAGGCACAATGGTGGGCTGGGGCAGGACAGAGGGTCCTGGTCTAGATCTGTCAACCCAGCTGTGTCCCTCCTCCAGACACAGTCCAGAGCAGCTCTAGGGCCACAGGTAAGACGCACAGGTGAAAATAACAGTGTTAACTCAGCATTTAAAACATTGCAGTTTCAACTAGGGGCTTAATCTCTCATTTTAATTGTCTATTTTAAATATGGAGATCTGCTTGTGGTTCATGTTCATTATGTTAGGTTTTGCTGTTTTACATTAATATTCATAAATATCATTGTGATAATGAACTTATTTTTATTTTTTAAAAGATTTTTTTATTTATGCATACAAGAGCTGGGGTGCAGGTCAGAGGTGTGGGGGATGAGAGGATTCACCAGAGACAGAGTGGGGAACAGAACAGACAGACTGACTGAAATACACTGCTGAGGGGAGCAGCGAGCGAGTCAGGAGAGGTCTGCTGTGCCACGTGGGTAACTCCCTGGCCAGGGATTTAACTGGTGCTGCAAGGCTGCGGATAGCTTCATGGGTTGCGTCTTAAACCTTTAAGCAATCAGGGAGGCCCTGAACTTATTTTTAACACAGAGTTTGTATCAAGCTTGTGGAGGGCTGTGGCCAAGAGTGTTTCCCTCTCTCTAGATGGGGGTGTGATAAGACGGATGTAGAAAGTAGCACAGAATGAGTATTGGAAGTGTTTAATATAATTCTCTCTCTCTCTTTTTTTAAAGATTTATTTATTTATTTATACAAGCACTGTGTACAGTCAGAAGGGCGGGAGGGTGAGAGAATTCACCAGAGCCAAAGCGGGAAGCAGAACAGACAGACTGATGAAATAAACTGCTGAGGGGAGCAGCGGGCGGGGCAGAGGAGGTCTGCGCGCCATGTGGGACCCTCGCTGGCGGCCGGGTATCGAACTGGCACTGCAGAGGGTGCGGGCCCCTTTGCAGCCCAACGCTCAACTGCTGCGCCACCAGGGGAGGCCCATTTAGCGTAATTCTCTTATTAATGATCAGGACAGCTCATTCTAGGCCACATTTTTCACGAAGTAGACCCAGAGTTCTCAGTCCTCCTTCTCTCCATGACGGCTCCCTGTGCAGGAGAATGTAGGCGAGTGAGACATGACTCTTTCCATGTCTCATGGGAAAAAAAAAAAGTGTGCAGGTGAGAACTTGCACTTTCCATGAAGTGGATTTTTATGTTCAGTCACATGGTCACTACTGCCACCTCCTGGCTAAATGTATCTGGAACCAAACCCAGAGCCCTCCCTGGTCCCCACAGGTCAGTAGTCTCCAGCTCCACATTCTATCCCATTGCCTGATTTTTAATCAATTTAACAATTACTGATGTTATTTATTCGACCGTTTACACTTATTTATTCCTGCATAGCTCCTTCTCTGCTACCACAAGCACAGGATTATTTGGGATCTAAGTTGTCTTATTTGCTCACGGAAAATGGCTGCTCACATGACAACTGTGAACTAGTGCCTGAAATTCTAACACTAAGGAAAAGAGCGTTTAAGGGAAAACTTTTCATTTTTTGCTACTGAAAAATAATTGAATGCATTACATTTACTTCAAGACAGGTATGTATTTTCACAGATAAATATGATCAATCGGCCAATGAGATACATGTTTACATAAATATCAAACAAAATTTTGAATTTTACTAAAAATTTTGTGTATGAAATGTGAATAACCATTTATTGATAACAGAAGGAGAAAAGCCCTAGTATTGATAGGCGTGGGTCTTGATGGAGTGGGCAGGGAAAGGAGAGAGAGACTGAATTGCTATTGTCTGTATTGAAACTTCTCATTACATTCAAGTACAGAACAACTCTGGGCCAGCACTTGCCACAGGAGAAATTTTGTGATAGGAACTTGAGTTGCCTGCCCTCTAGAGTGGTGCTGACAGAAGGACCAGGTGAAAGTAGCAACATACAAATAGAGAAATGGTCATTTTGAATCTCAGACCCTCCTAACCTGATACCTGTTTAGAAATTGCGTCAAGACAAACAAACCATCTGTACATGACCAGGGAGCTCTTCCAGGCTGCCTGAGGAGAGGCAGTCATGTCTCACAGCTCATCTGCCCCTTGGGAGCTGCCCTCACTCTGCTCTTAGGCTGGCTCCCAACTGCAGTGTGGAGAGAGCTCTCAGGGGTCCCATAAGAGGTGGGACATCCCTTTCCCTGTGTTGAACGTGTGTCTTCTTCTTTAGAGAAATGGCCAGGCCTCTTTGACTTCTAGACACAGCACACTCCTTGTGTAGGCCAGGCCTGGCTCCTGAAGCAGAGGATGTGAAGAGCCAGCTTGAATGGGGACTAGAAAGCAATGGGCTCTGCAGCTGGCCCAGCTTGGGTTGCAAGCAGTCCTGCCCCTCGGGCCCCTGCAGTAGCAGGAGACACCAACATGATCAACCCTGTACTTAGCTGACACAAGGGAGGTTCCAGTGAACAAAAGTCAAATTCCCATCCTGTGAAACATATGCTAAGACAGGACATACTGTGGGCCTCAAGACAGGACACTGAAATTAAACACGTTCAAATCATACAAAGTACATTCGATACAATTTTTAAAAAGTTATATTCATTATCAGTAATGGAAATTTATCCAACAATTCCCAAATATTTGGAAACAAATAGAC